GGGGGGGGGGGGGGGGAGGGGGAGAGAGAGCGCGCTTTAATTTGGTCGCGCTGGACGTTCGCGATTTTTGACGCAGGTAAAAGACAAGCGAACCAATCGACCTGATTCTCTCCCGCTTTCGCGTGTCCTGCGATGGCTATTTTCGGTCGCTTCGTGTCCCACGAGCACGTCATCCTCTGTGTCACATTTCGACGTAACGGACGTAACGTATTGCCGGGTGACGCGAACGCTCGTATATTTAGCGTTGACATTAAAAATCGCGTGCTGCGATTAATCGCGCGGGTTCTCGCCGAGACACGGAGCCCCGAGATTCTCCACGGTTAGATCGTTCGGCTCTGTCCGCATTAAATCGATGAAATTAACGTGAACTCGCTCACGCGATGCGCCGCTTCGGGAATATCAAAATTGTGCCGCGCTCGCCGTCGGCCATACAGAAAAGCTATGCTCCAATTAATTCGGTTTACAACAGTACGGTCTAATTTTGTGTGGAATCGATAGACGGCGATGGAGCAATTAAACGACACACATCGCGATTCCCTTCGACGAGCGTGAGCAAGGGAAAGAGAGAAGACGCTGACAGTGATTTCTTTTATTCCGGCAACGCGCGAACGAGCGAGCGAAGAGATACACACGGTAATTGTTCCGAAGGAAACTTCAATGAGGTAACTTTCACCCGCGGTGGAGTGACTCAACCTTTTCGAGTCTTCGTTTCAGATTGTTATGAAAATGAAGTGGAAAGAGCGGTGGTGAGGAGCGCGGCGGCGCTAATGAGCAAATTACAAGAGGCGCGACGACGACAGGATTAAAAGGGACGGAGTTGCGCTCGGTTACGTTAAAGAGAATAAATTGCCGGACGGACGTTAAAGCGCTAAGTAGCGGAGACCGGGTCGAGTCGGTCCAAGAGTCATGTAGCCAGTGTTGGCTATGCGTTTTTGCTTATCTGTTCATTGTGAGAGCAACATTGTGGCAAGGTGATTGCAAAACGTTCCTCTCAGAACATAGAAAAAGTACCCATGTCCTGAAAGGAACGATCCCTTTTGCGTACACGACAAATATATGAATCAGATAACATGACTCTGGGACCGATTTGACTCGGTTTTCTCTCATCAGTGTGTCGGGCGAATTGTCTCACCATTACGGACTGATAAAAAAACGACCTAATTACGCCGCGACCGCGAATTGAACAAGCCCGCGGCTTCATTTGCGACTTTGTCGCCATCGAGGAGAGCAAGATGTGCCGCGCGACACCCCGCCGTGCGAGCGAATCACACGCCCGACAATCGAATTTGCGCAATTCCGCGCGCGGATTGCGGACATGGATACGGCCGCAATTAGGTAATTAGACGCGCGAAACCAGCGAGCGTTTCAGGAAAGTGCAACTACATATTTACGGAATTACTCATCGCCGCGGCTCTACAGCCAACGGTTCTACGTCACTCTACCAATTCGGACGAAAAGCCCGTTCCGCCACGCTTTCCTCCTCATGGCGTCGCGATGCAGCTCGCTCTGCGCGCCGATATACGCCCGTCTGACTCTCGCCCGTTGAGTTCGCGCCCGTCCCGATCGCGTGCGTGAAACTTCCCTCGGACCGAGTCGCGTTTGTTTCCTTGTGTCGGCACTTGTTCCACAGAAATTTTAAGTATACACTGCAACTCGCACTCACATCTACTTCGCGGCATCTCGCAGATTCTTTTCGCCTACATTATTACGAAATGACGAGATTGAGGCAGGTTTGGCTTATTCTAACGCAAGAGGTCGGTTCGAACGACTCCTGAGTCGGCGTATGTCGGTGCAACAAGTTAGAGGGTAACCAAATATACTCGTTTCACTCATTGCATTGATGTATGCTAGTTGAAAAAGTTATTCGAATAGGTCTGAGGAATTAACAGCGGACGATTCGACTTTCGTCGTCGTTAAAAACGCTCGCGACGCTTCGTCGACCCCTTGAAATCCCCATTCAACTCCCTCAGAAGTTTTAACTGCCTGACCACGCGTGAATTTCAAAGTTTGACGTCCCAAGTGGTGAAACTTCTTCGTCCTCTTCGTCGGTGAAACCTGGAATCGCGAAATTACGGGCTGATGAACAGCGAAGACGAGCTCCCGAGAGACTGACGCGTGACTGTTGGGGCAATTAGCCTGGCGGGGGATGGCTTCCTCGTCGCTCGAGAGCTCGAAGGGCGCCAGGAGGCGCACCACCGGCCTGCCGGCGCGCACCCGCGGCGCGCCAGCGAGCCCGGAGAACGGCGGGACCGTCGGCGAGGATGGACGCGACTCCGGTCTCTCCTCCGAGAGCTCGACACCCACGAACGGATCGCCACCGCCGCGGCAGCCGAAGCCGCCGAGCAGCGGCCACCAAATCTCCGGTGGCGTCGTCGCCAGCGCGGCAACCGCCGCTCTTCGCGCCAAGAATAGTTCCGGAAGGTAGAGTGCCTCTTCGGGATGCGCTCTCGCGGAGATATTTCCGAGTCACTTAGGAGAGAAGAGAGTCAAGGGAAGGGAGATTAGTCGAGAGAGAATCCTCGTGTATCGCCTCTCTTCTCTCCTCTCCTCTCATTCTTCTCTCCCCTTTGTATCGCGCGGTGGCGTGACCGCGATGAGTGGCGCGATAACGTGCGAATGTGCGACTTCCTGAGTGTTGAATACTTTCAGCCGCGCTCTCGTGGAGGCTTTCACTATTTATGACAGGTGCAATAGTAATTCGCCTCTCGCTACCTTGCGGTTCTCGCGACGCCGCATTTGATGAATCATTAATGTCCCGTTCGCTTCGACGTCTCCTTCCGCTCCCTCGAAAGCGCTCCCTCCTGCGCCCTCGGATTTCTGTCCCCTGAGGTCGATCCTGAGCTTCCTATCGAGTCAATTGCCAGCGACACGCTGAAAGTGACTCGCCGTGAGTAATCGGACGACTTTTTTGTTTCAGAATCGCCAGCGACAGGATGAGGTTCCTGCGCAACCGATCCGGAACGGAGTCGCCGCGCTCGTTGGACAGCATGCGCAATCGTCAAGTTTCTAGTCCTTTGAGGAGAACGGGAGACGTAAGTCCTTGCTTTTATCGCGCTAATGCGCTCTTCCCGCCCTCTGGCCTCCGATTTCTCCAAAGTCTCGTTCAGTAGTTACCCGACACGCTATCGAAAGCGGGGATCACGATATCTTTCTGTTTGTAGCTGCAATCCCCGTGTCTGGATTCCGGTGACGAAGCGAGCCTGAAGATAGACCGCGCAACGTATCAGCACATGTTCCAGGACATCGTCTCTCTGAAGACGATGCTGCTGAAACTCAAACGAGTTCTTCAGGAGGTACGACGCTGCGCAACCTGCTCGTCCGTGTGTCGTTCTTCGAGATCTCTGCACGTCGCTTTCATGTCTCGTATTAATGTGCTTTGCGCGCTGTATTTCTCTTTTTTTTTTTTCTGTTTTTTTATTCACGCCGGTCGACTCGTGCTGCGCGAGTGTCGTCCGACCATGAACGGCACATTTTTTATCTCTTTATACACTGCGCCGCATTTTTGCCCTTTTTATTAACACGACTTTTTTACTTTTCATTTTGTCGTCGTCCTTCCTGATTTTGCGTCTCAAGTCAGGAGAGAACGATTTGACGAGGGTACGTTGCATTGATTTTTTCTTTCTGTTATATTTTTCGCCACTGATGTTGTATCACCTCACTCGCATGCGTGTGTGTGTGCAAACATAATGGACATCATTCATTATAAACCATGGGATCGAGTAAAAGTAACGCGCGCAATCATCTACTAATTTAATATAATTGCATAAAATGATGTAACGAGTAACGTTTGCAAGCGCAAATTATGGCCGAGCTCTGTTGCGGTTTATAACACTAATATTTTACTCCTTCCCAGTGATTTTTACGAATTACATAAGTCATAGACGATAGAACTCGATGTGCAAATTGCTGATGTTCGATTTTGCTTTTTAGGCAGACACTCTCAACCCATTCGATAATTCTGTGAAGGTTCGTATTCTTATCATCTTTGAAAGAGAAATATGGAGTAATGCGCACAATAATTTTACTTCAACTCTTAAAATATTAAGAAGGTCGATGCACACTAGAGTACGTCCAAATTGCAGAATGGCCTCTTCTGTAGCCTGAACCTGAATCTGAACGAGAGTGGTGAAACTATCGACGTGAGCACGTCACCGGGTAGCGGTGGCAGCAGTATCGCGGACGAATTAGCGGATCTGAGAAGACAAGTGATCTTTCTTCAGGGTCAAGTGGAGGACCGGGATCGCACCATACAACAGCTTCAGGTAAATAATCGCGACGTGAGAACTGACCGCTCCTTTGCACGTGGAAGAGGAAGAAGGCAACTCCCCGATCGACGATCATCCTCGAAGCAGCCGTCATATATTCGTGCGAAGATGCGAGTCGCGCAAGTGTAATAATCGTGGATCGTCTCTTCGCAGGTTCAATGTTCGAAGCTGCAAGGACCTACGAACGGCGACGCGCAAAATTGCATCGTAGTAACGCGCAACAACAACACGCTCTGCGTAGACACGTGTAACGCCGCCACGCAAACGGAGAAGGTATGCTCACCGTCACGCGATTAGTTCGTTGCGCTCATCTCGTGTCTTATCTCGTTATTGTTCGTATATGATACGTCGTTCATAGTAAAAGAACACGCTTTACTTTCTTGCAATCGCAGATACGTCCAGTATCGGCGGGGCCCTCGCTCCTACAGTCACTCCCACAGGATGGAAGCATGGGGCCTCTCGTCAGGTGAGATTTAACTTATCCATCTATTCAATCGACTCTGATCCTGACTAAATTCTCATTATATACTTAATCTTCATTCCGAAATCTAGAATACTTTCCTTTGAAGACAATCGATTACCGATTATTCAATCGTGTACCGCCGTGTCGATCATATTTTGTCGTCTTTACGAGTGAAAATTACATTGACATAAATTATGTTTACGCCACTGAACGGTCGCACTTTGAATATTACATTTATCTCTTTATCACAAATGTATGTTATAAATAATATGTCGTTTCTGCTGTTCTGGTCGCACCCTTTACTCGGCTGATTCTACGCAAACAAACAGCTTCAGAATCGGGAAGGTAGAGTCCATCAATTTGTGTGACATAGTGTTGGGATGTGTATTGCTTTGTGCGATTAATATCTTCGTATTCGTACATCTCTTTTATACTCGTAACGTTAGTCTGAGCATGATATATTAACACCTATGTTCGTTTTGCATGGTTCCAAGTATCGCAATTTCCGATATTTAGCTATTCGACCAGATTTCTTACTTCTTAGGAAAAGTCCTCAATCTTACTCGTTTGAATTTGGTTTTTTATATATTGAAAAACATTTTAATTGTTCTCTGCTGAAAAAAAAAGGAACAGATCTTTCATTGATTTTCTTGCATCCTCTGACCTCCAATAAATATGCATTGAATGAACAGCATGTGCAGAATGAAACGTTGGAGATAATCTGCACACATATTGTATATATACGTGTGATACTTTGTACATATCTTATATATAAGCAAATTATTTTGTATATATCGTAAGTAAATTATTTTAGCGTCGCCGCGTTCAATTGGTCGAATAGCACTGATATTCTGATCTTACAGTTTTTGTGTTCATATTATTTCTTGTATTCATCTACGTCTGACGTTTAATAAGAGTCCTGTCTTCACTTTCGGAGACAAGATAATTAAGTAATCGCATTTTACGCGATCTCACAAGGTCTAATCGTTCGTTGTAAGAGTCCGTACGAATTTTGAAGACATCCTCGATTATTCTGATGCAGTGTAGATGGCTCTTGCTTTATCGTCTATTTATAAAATACGACGCTTCCAGCATGTAGCAATAATACAATGCGTTTACGTCTTAAGTCTGTCGAAATAATTATACCTAAAGACGTTTCCCTAAAAACAAATCTTTTGCGATAATATACTCGATTTACACTACGTAATGTTTCATGCTGCTTTGAATAGCCTTGTGCGGTAAGTGAAATTTTATGTATAAAACAAATCGTCTCATAACTCAAAAGAAGACAAAATTTTTGTAATTAACATAGCAATGTCTGATTCGATTATTAGTGACTGCGCCTTGAAAGATATTATATTTTCGCGAGTTATTCGCCGAAATAAAAAATCGCGAATAGTACATTTTCCATCTCCGCGCGTCATTTTCTCATTGATAACTTTTCCGTTTTAGCTGGAGTGACTCGTGGGACCGTCAGCGACCCTCGCTGCTCACTGAGCTTAACTCCGCTGGAAGCCATCGCAAGCCAACTGAACGTTTACCTCATACATTAAAACTTCGTCAAGAACAGACGTCACGTCGCAACAACATGCACGCGAGAAGACACTCGTCGGAGAGTGTGCCCAATTCGCTGAAATCAAAGGACTGTGCTAAACTATGTGACCCAAATGACGCGGAGCAAGGTGACGTCAAGGTAGAAGGAAATACGATCAAGTCCCTTATTCCGACGTCCAGGAAGCTACGGCTTTAACGACGGAACTCGGCTACATTAATATTCTCTGTATAGCAACATTTCTCACGTTCCAGACGTTCGAATCTTCGAAAAAGAGAGATCTCTTCTCTGCGAGGAGAATTCATCGCGGGCGAATTGCCCGGTCCGCTTGTAAGCGCTATGACACTTTTTCCGGCAAATCTTGTCACGATCGAAAATGTGAAAATTATTTTAACGAGTTGCAACTTGCAACTATTACTTGATATTCGTTGAATATATATCCGATTGTTGCAGCAACCGTCGGATAGATTCGGTTTCGAGGGCTTCGACCGATTCGGACGTCCGTACACAAAGCGATCTCTCGTTTCGTCTATTTCTCGCTCGTATTTAGTTTTGTTTGTGTTCTACAAAGTTCACGTTCCTCGTGGCGCGTAGCGGGAACGTTACGCGCTCGTCTGATATAATTTGCCGTGTACTTATGCGACATCGCGGAGAATATCGCGCGAAGTCATCTATTCCTGAACGGATATTTCGGGCGACGGCGTAATTCGTCGCGCCGCTGCGAGTATACTCTTCGTTAATATTAACGTTCAAGTTGACTTCCTCGTCCAAACGTGATCTCAAGCGCAAGAATTGAAAAACGATATATGACATTGCAAAAGTTACAGTGTAATTTATTTGTCCGGCAAATTGGTTCCACGTCGGAAACGTGGACGGAAATCGAGGTTTTCCATTGCGCTTTAATTGAAATCGAATTTTTAATTGCAGATATTTATTTACGCGAAAAAATTTTTGTAGTATAATTTATTGTAAATACAAGTCCAAAAGTGTGTTGATTTTAGTATAATGTACGATTGCAATCATGGAGAATAAGCGATATTTCGGTGAGGAAAATTTTTCTTAAATATGTGTGTATATATATATATATATTCTCTTCATATATATATATACATATATATGTATATATTTATTTTTTTTCGTTAGACACATATTTTAACGTATTTTAACGTTTCGCAATTTGTGTTTTGTTCATTTTTGTTTCGACAATTTGTACTATACGTATTGAAATCTGCTTTTCGAGGAGAGAAGTTTTCTAAATACACGTTACTTGTTATCGCAGATTCATCGATTACATTTTCTCTGATTGTTTATGTTGCTCACTGTGATCAATCCAAGAAGCAATTCGACTTGACTCATTTAATTATCGTTTATAATATATAAGGACACGTTCGTGTTGTAATTCGTTCGTCCGCGTTTACTTAAATACCAAGGAGTGCATTTAAGTAATTCCGGCTGCAAGCAAGCTGCAGCTGTGCGGCTTCGGTTCGTACATATGTCTCACGACCAGCAGAAAGAAGGAGTGTGTACGATCGTAAATTAGTGAAGTCAGGGTACTATGTAAATTCCATACGTCATTTTAATTTATTGCGTGCAGTATATGCTTGGTGCTAGTGAGTTCGCATTCTGTTGTATGATATTTAGGCTCTCCTGCCTTCCGCGAAGCATTCCTCTATTTGCATTTATTTCATGCACTCCAATAGCGCTAGTAGCGTCAAAGCGGTACGCGAAAACGTGATCAAGTACATTTTCACGTGAAATTTCTACGCTCAGATCGGGACGAATCTGAAAAAAAAAAAGAAAGAAAAATAGCCCGTCCAGACTAAAGAAAGTGTGTGTTTAGCGGTTTATTTTATATTTTCTTGTCCTCTCCACAGGACGCGACAATAATTATTCTTACAGTCCAAAAGGAGTATAAAGGGGACTTTGCGTTTTCTTTCTATTACTTTCTGTGTCATAGAACGATGGGTAAAGAATAACGATTTTTAATATGCACTTGTAACGTATGTAAAATAAATGCTAATGCATTTTCCATGCAAACGAACGCATATTTATCCTAAGTAGAGGTGCCAGCTGTTATATCAACCGTGACAAATTGACAGTAGATTCAGTCGAAATATCGCGGCAAATTTGGCACCATTGTCGTTAAGTTGTTTGTGTTCTATCGGCGCAGCCTGCTGACATAACCGGACAACAGTTTAACGGCAGAAACCGAGGAGTGTCGAGCAGTGTGTATTTGATTTAAATGCATTCAGGCTGGATTGTGAAACGGCAAATATTACTCGGCTATGGTCGCCAATCTGCTGTTGTAATCTGTTAACAAATCCTGTTATATTTTCGCAAGTGAGAGCTGCCGGCAAAATTTGTAGCGGACTCTTTGCAAAATCTGTCTCAATAGATACTTAGCTGTTCGGATATAAATGTATTAGTGGTTATTAAATACAATGCATTTTTGCAAATACGTATTCGAAATCGTTATTTGTTATTCGCGAATTTCTTGTCCCACACTAGCGTGATGATATAGATTGATAATGCGTGTAACACATACTAATTTGGAGTGAATGGTAACGGAATGCGACGGATGTCAGGAGAGAAACTAGATATTATATGATTATTGTATATTCATTTGTCTATACTCTAATTTATGCGGTGATAGTATGAGAAAATTAAAACAGTGAGAGAATGAAAGAATAAGAGAGAAGATGGAGAGAGAAAGTGATAGAGTGAGAATCTCGTTAATTTTTTAAGAAATATATAATAAAAATGTGGACTAGGGAAATATTAGTTTTAGCAGAGAGCTACACAAGATGCAGTCGAATATTTAATGGACTGTGTTGAGCAATTAAAAATCCGCTTATTATCAATAACGAACACGAAATCGATAGATCTGATGATAATAAAAACTTACAGTGACAGTCTCATCATTATTATCGACTATTGATGTTAATCATCACGGCTGTCGACTGTCACCTTTTTCCAGTGAAAAAAATCGATCGAATCTACATTCTTGTCGTATCGTGTTAAAAATTATGGCAAATAAAGAGCATGTGTAACATAGCGATTACACTCATTCATTCTCTATAAATTATTATATATGCGTGTATGTGTGTGTGTATGTATGTATGTATGTGTGTGTATGTGCGTGTGCGTGTGTGTAAATATACGGGATTCGTTCGATCGTAATTTACTAATCGTTAACAGACCCGTCTACTCTCAAGGATTCTCGTTTAACAACGATGAGAAATTATCAAAAATATTTTACTCTATACTTTATTGTCTGATACGACAAATCATAGTGCAAAATATAACACGCGCCGATATCTGTCTCTGTTTACGCTACTCTAAGCCATAGTAATGATAGTGGACTAATTAGATGAATCGACGAGTGATTAACTTAAAAAAAAACGTCTATAGTCATGGTGCACAAGCTCGTGTTTGTTAGGACTATTCGCTCTACTATTCGATTCGGTTGTGCATTACGTAAAATTAGCCTACCTAGTCCCACGAGTGCGGCAATAAAAGCAACTTCATTTATCCATAGCGTTCTCATTCTCACCCAGTTTCAGTATACAGAGTGTAAGAAAAAGGGTTCAAAATTACAGGGTTGTATTCGTTATACTGAGTAGAAGATATTTAGTAAATATAAGCCGAGAAATGGATTAAGCTCCGTGCATTTTCGTTCACCGCATGTGATTAATGTAAGCACACAAGCAAAATTTGCGTTACCAAAACCGAATAACACTTGTAATTCTGAAAGGATTGACTTTTCAACGTATGTTTACTAAATATTTTTTACTTAATGAATACTATCTTATATCTTGTAAATCTTAAGGCTCTCCCCTGGCAGTGCTTCGAAAGATTTACTCGCGCACGTGCATTGAGCAAACATTGTTGTACCCTCAGTGCCGAGAAAAGAAAGTTTCTGTGAAAGAAACAGAATGCTCTGTTCATAAGTAAACATTTTATTTTATGATTTTTTCGCATATTAAGATAATACGAGCCGTACAGACAACTTTCTCATCGTCTTCATGCGATGCCAAGCAATCTTTAAAAATATCCATATTTAACTACGCATGATGGGATCTTTTACTATTAAATTTTTTTTCTTTTTGTCGATGCCACTTGATGTTGAAAGCCGTTAGTAGTCCATCTTTCTTTATCGCACTTTTTCATTAAATAAAAACTTAATATTATAATTGCACTTTTTATCACAGTTAATTTATTTACGACATATTACTAATCTAACTTAGCCACTCGCGGAAGGAAGCAGCAACGGAGAGACGGCTGGATATTTTACGTAGGCCTTCTATGAACCTTCTTAAGGATGTTCGATTTCAAATCGATTTTTCAGAAAATCGATTTTCTCGTAATAAAAATCAATTATTTTTAATCGATTATTATCAATTCGATTTTTACGTAAATCTTTTGAAAGATAATCGATTTTCAATTCGTCATATATAAAAGCTCTATGGCTGGTATTTATAGTCGGATCTTAATTTAAGATCATTTTAAATTCATCTTTAGATACTGTATAGCTTATTTCATTGGCTACGAAGTATCTGAAGATACTTAAAATAGAACTTAAAATAGTCTTAAATATAAGACTCGATTATGAATATTGAACTTATTATTATGAGTTGTATATCTTGATGGAGAATCTAAGGAGTCAAGGTTTTAGAAATCTAGTATATTATAGTTTTTAAAAACACATACAGGATGTTTTTAAGGTATCTTTTAAAAATTTGTTCTACCTGGGTCTTATCACTGCGATCATATTGAATTGATGACGTCAGAAGAGAGGAAAACATGAACCGTACGAACCACGACTAAATACAAACCTTGTACACAAATTAGTGACGAAAAATCACATTTACAAGGAGGACATGTACATTATATTCATCATGTCTTTTCACAAGGACTGGATTTTTAAAGGTGTTACACAATTCAATATGTGTATCGGAGTTAAAATGAGGGAGAGAAAAAGAGTTACGAAATTAAAAAAGATCTTATTATTATGGGTATTGAAACGAAGTACTAATATTCATTTCATATTGCTTGACTAATTTGCATTATTTGGTATGCACCAACTCTCCAGAATTGCTTTGCTAACAGAAATTTTGCGTATAACTCATAGATAAAACGAATGCAGAGAATACTATTTACATACACAGTGAAATAAAACCTTAAGTTCTCTTTTAGAAACGTAATTGAGCTAAACAAAAGTTTACATCGCATAAATAAAGTAACAACCGTGAAGCTGTTTTAACAATTTCGTTAGAAGCTGCATCATCTTCTGATCGACGACATTGTTTAATACTACAATGGTTTTTCGTTCAGCTGTCAAGTGAAAGATTGTCAGCCGATAACTCGAAAGTTCGACGAGAAACGCCATAATAAACATTTATTTTCAATTTTAAATAACAAGAGGATGTATACGCTCTAAGAGCTTATACTAGCAAACATTTGTACAAAAAAGATACGGTAACGAATGAAATAATCGCACCGGTATTTGCATCTTTTCATCTCTCGCATATGTACGACGTGAGTACGATCAATCTTACAAAAAAACGTGTGCCAAATTGTAGAAGTCATGGGGTCTTTTCTCCTTGTCTTTGACCGCGAGAAGTCTACGTGACGCGACTAGAGCAAGGGTGGCTCGAAGTTCATTCCTCAGAATTTGATAGTTTGCTCGTAAGTTGACACGTCTCAAGTTGCTAGATGGAACCGGACGGCCGCCAGCGAATGCAAATCTTCAATTAAGTTTGCAATGTAACACAGAATATATTAGGAGAATTTCTAAAGATTAGCTTCACACGAATTTTTGAATTTCACACGCGTACCTTATTTCCCGTCTTGGTCCTCTCAGAATAGAATCCGGAAACGTAGTTTGTCGATCCCACGGAGTCGGCGTCCTATTGTTGAACAACGGTCTCACTTTAACGTACTTAATTTTACCTTTGATTATGATAGGCAGTGCACCGGGTTTCCTGCTCGTTTTCTTTTTCGTGCTGCTATCGTAATGAACTGGTAAATACGGCAATAACGAGTCACCATAATATTCGGTCAAGGCAGTGAGCTCCAATGAATGATTCCGCGACTTCACGAGGGTGCATATAGTCAACTGTAACGAGAGCAATAAGATAATGCACGCACGAAACTAGAATAGCGTAACACAAAGCAACATAACATATTGATACTGACAGCTATTTGGTGCCAGATAAACGATCCAGGTGAAGCGTAAAGATACAAAATGTTCTGTACGGAAAGTACATGCTCGGTCTTGTGATGGAAGAATCTGAGGGGCTGAATGCTCGCCAACAACTCCACGGCCATTATCCTTTTCTTATTGATCTCGACGCTCTCCTTTTCATCCTTCAGAAAGGCACTTTCCATTATGGGTATGTATCTGGCGATAAATATTGCAAAAATCAATCTCCTAAAATTAATCATTTGTGCTATACAGGCTGTCCCAATTTGTCTCCGCCATGTTCGTGAGAACGGATTGAGATGAACATAAAGGTCCTATATCATTTTGCGATATTCGCAGTAAGTCTCAAGATTAATTGAAGAAGATTGATGAATGATCACGGTAGATGAGCTCTAATGACGACGTGTGCCATCGTGTGCTTGTACATTACATCAAACTGAACAAAAGAATGATTTATCATTTTGCAAATAGCCACGTAGATTTTTATAGTTATTAATGAAAGAAAATTATTACATAATTGTGTACGATAATGCATAAATCTTCTTTAATTAATATCTAAAAATCTATATAGTCATTTGCAAAATGAAGGACTTTTCTGTTCAGTTTGACCTAATGTATAAGTGCAACCATTACGAATCTGGGACACCTGTATGTATATACAATTACAATGTCTCTGTACTTGTCAGCAATAGATGGCCACCGAAGCATCAGTTTGTGCGCACATTCTTTAAAGAGTACCTCCAGGTTTGGATTAATGAAACTCTGGCCTAGCAGCAACTCCAACAATAATTCAGTCAATTTATCTACCTGTGATTGGATAACAGAATAAAGTGTGTGCAAAGATTTGACGAATATTTTTTTATGTAAATGATGTTTTTGCAATCCATTACCGAAGTTAAGTGATATGGATAGATAGCTTCACTATTGCTCGCAATAGCTATGATAAGCTGACACGTTCGCGTGGAAACACGTGTGTACTGAGCATTGTTTGAAATTACTAAAGATCTGGCAATAGACATCAGTTTATCTACAACTCCCTCATCACCTAATTGTACATTTGTGGCGCAATCATTGATTAAAACCTAAAAATACAGGACAATAAACACTGTTTTCATTAAACTAAGATATTTAATTATAATATACCTGAAAAGTCTTTTGAGAGCCATTAAATAAAGTTTTCAATGCACGTTTGACATAATTGTGACGTGCTTCTGTGAGTTTCAAGTCGTATATTTCAGATTCTAGATAGGAGAAAAATAATGTTTCAGAGAGAATGCACAAATTAGGATACCATATATGAAAGATAAATATGAAATGAGTATGGAAATTTATAAAGAAAATACCTTGCAAATATGGCACATTGGTTTGAGATAGATTCAACGGTTCATTCAGTTGATGCACGAGATTGACAACGGATTCATTAGGTGTATATACTTTTGCTTCTGTATGATATTCTGGCATAAATTCTGGTGCACCAAGAACCGGATCTGCATCACATAAGCTAGTAATTACTGCGTTTACATCTGTAGATGTGAGTCGTTTTTTTTTACTATGCCTCAGTCTTGTAACACATTTCTGAAGGCAAAATAATTAACATTGTATGCATCACATATAAACATTGAAGTATGAAATATTATATAAGAATCAATTATATTCTTACATGTAGGACTTCTCTTAAGCGATAGGAAGCATCTTCAGCTAGTCTCTTCAACAAAGGATCAGGCAATGGATGCATGCCTAGTTCTTCACCGATAGCAGAGATCCATTCAGTACTGACCATAGCATATCTTCTAAAGTTATCATCATTTGTAATACTGGTGCCTGCATCTCCATTGTTATTATTGACAAATGAATTACTGTATTCAGCACTAATTTGGTTCGTCAACATCTCTTTCATGATTTATAACTTTTTTGTATCAATATGACAATTTCACTCTTCTGTGTATTTTCTTCAGGTGGCCACTTTGATGTAGTCTCACTATCAGCTGCACATTGTGTTAGAATTAAATATAAAAAAATAAAAATACATGCATTAAATTAGTGAAATCTCAGTTGCAAAATGGAGAACCATTAGAAAAAGAGAAAACACTCGAAAATTTATATTATATATGCATTGCACCTTAATCTGTGCATATACACACTAGTGAATACATAACTAGTAAATTGCAGAACTATAGTATATTAACTTAAGGCGGAAAGAAACCTGAGAGCAGCTATACTATACGTTTTGTTATCGACATATAGTACTAGACGGAGCATTAAATCGACGGTGCCGAAATCGTATTAACAGACGTAGAAAGAGACAAGACGATATGTGGGTAGGAGCGGTTTATAGAGCAACGGGGCCATGAGGCATTTACAATTCTATTATTTTAATTAATTTTTTTCATAACAGTAAGGATATAAGATATAAGGTAAAGATGAAATATAAAAATGTTTATAAAATAAATAAGAAATTTGTAATATATATGTATTACACGTAAATGTAATCATATGTAGTAACTCATATGCAATAACGTATGTTCCCAACTTTTAAGGATACGATACTGTTCCCTTTCTCCTTAAACAAAATTCAACCAATGAACATAGAATAGAAAGAGAGATCCGTGTCCACACATCTAGCTTTTTCTTTCTAGGTCTCTCAACACGAAAGATCAAAGAAGCTTGTCGAATGCTCCGTCCAGTACTATATGTCGATGGTCTAATGCAGGATTCACACTGCGTCCGATGTCCGACATACGACGTCCGATATCCAATAAAAGAATAGCTTTCCAAAGGAGAATTGAATTCTATATTAGAAAGCTGTTCTCCTATTGGATATTGGATGTCGTACGTCGGACATCGGACGCGATGTGAATCCTACAAAAAGCCCGTTCTACATCGTATGACGGATTCGGATGTCGGAACGCAATCAATGGTCCAATCAGGAAAACTCGTCTCGAAAAACAAATCCTCTGATTGGCTCATCGACTGCGTTTTGACGTCCGACAGTGACATACGACGTATTGTAGAACCAGCCTTAAGCTGGCCACACACACTTTTCTTAATAGTAACCGTAAAGGCCAAATCACACTAGCGATTGGCGATTGACGATTGACAATTAAAGATTAGATTTTAACGAATCAACAAGCTTCAGCCTTGGCTTGCTTTGTTCCAATTGGTCAAGTTCCAATCTTCAATCGTCAATCATCTATCGCCAATAGTTAGTGTGATTTGGCCTTAAGACGTAACGTAAAAATTGACCAATTGCGATGAAGTATTCATAAAATGGCGACCTTACAATTCGACGATTCTCAACATGATTGGTCAGTTCTTACGTTACGTTTTACGGTTACTGTTACGAAAAGGTGTGTGGCCTTCAGCTTAAGGGCCTTCACACCCAAATGACATAACAGTAACGTAAAACGTATCGTAAGAATTGACTAATTACGATCGAGTATTCATCAAAATGACGACCTTTACGGTTCGACGATTTTCAACATAATTGGTCAATTCTTACGGTACGTCTTACGTTATTGTTGTGTCAATTTGTGTGTAACCCTAAGGCGTATTCTACAATACGTCGTATGTCGCTGTGGTATGTTGGAGTGCAGCCGATAGGCCAATCAGAAGATTTGTTTTTCGAGACGAGCTCTTTTCATTGGACCATCGACTGCATTTCAATGTCTGACAGCGACATATGACATATTGTAGAACCGGCCTTACGGATACCTATATGACGACTCGATTCCCTTTCTGTTTGCAGATACGGATATGTTTACAGACCATTGGAGCCGCATTTTAATACTACTATGATTGCTATATGAGAGAAAAGTCCGGTCCCAGAACCACGGTGCAGGAATATGCATTTCTCTCTCTTTCTGAGTGTATTATGAACGTTATGCGCATGCGTCAGATAGATCGTATTCAACTTTCCTCTTTTTTTCGTATAGCTTTTTTTTTATTTTTTACCTAAGCGGGCTTTTTCAAAGTTTTTTTCAAAATGGCCGCTTACAGTTCAAATTAAATCGTTGATATTATTCTTATGCTTGGTGAAGCTGGACGAAATTATTGTAGAGCAGAAAGATCAGTGATCGGTCTTGTCTTAACTTTCAAGCTCTATAACTCGAGAAGTACTCAATGAAACGTAACTTTATTATAGTGTTTTAGAAAGCTCTTGCGATAAGCTACAAGAATATGTAATAAAAAATAGGGGTTTTCGTTTAAAAAAACATTAATGACTTTGACCTGATTTTGACAAGGTCACTCAAGGTCAAGTTCACACTTTCATCATGTGTCCCTCTTCAAGCCATGCAACTTTCGTTAAAATTTTTCAGTTAAAATCATCGATTCGCGAGATCATCGACCATATCACTTAAAGTGAAACACCCTGTGTGTGTATATGTATATATATATATATATATATATATATATATATATATATATATATATATATATATATAAAACTTCATCTGATCGTCGCGCTTGTACACTACGATCAAAATACATTCCTCGGACATCGTCTGTCCTTCCATTCTGGGACAAGCTCCTCTTACAGGCAGCATAGTATGACTAACAATATAGTAGTATTACATATATGTCAAAACTCCTAGACTTCTTTCTGATTAACATCAATAATTCACGGACCTTGATACACTGTAATGGACTAGGTTTTATTTTTATCTAGAATATATAATACATCGATACATCTAGAATATATAGTAACATCGTTAAAGCGCGAATTCGCGTATCGTGAAAACAAGTGAATTCGGATCGTCGCCGGTGAAGTTCGAATTGAACCACGCACAATCGGTATATCGGGCGAGTAACATCTTATCGTGAAACAAGTAAATACGCTACCCAGATAGCACAAAGAATTCAAAAAGAATTCGGTCGTATGTCACCAATTTTGTGTTCATTTTTAGATGGAAAAAGAATTCTTTTTACTGAAAAACTTTGAAAAATTCTTTTTTGCATCTGAAAATGAACTCAGAATTGGTGACGTACGACTAAATTTTTGAATTCTCTGTGCTATCTGGGTACCGACGCTATCGCTAAAACGTAGTGCGTAGAACCGTCGTAATAACTATATTACAACAAAGAGAAATCAATCTGAAAATGTTGTTCGACAAGTTGCTCGCCCATATCGATACGATCGTCTTACACGAAATAAAAGAGTTGCACTGTATGAAGATATCTGCTGAAAGTATCTCCCGTAATAATCGAATGAGAGAAACAAAAGTCGTTCAATTGACGCGTTGACGCGTCCCAGATAGCACAGAGAATTCAAAAAGAATTAAAAAAAGAATTCAATCGTATGTCATCAACTCTGAATTCATTTTCAAATGTAAGAAGAATTCTTCAGAATTCAATTCAGTGAAAAGAATTATTTTTGCATCTAAAAATGAACTCAGAACTGGTGACATACGACTGAATTCTTTTTGAATTCTTGGCGCTATCTGGGGTATTATGTTCGTTACGCTCGTACTGTTCGGATACTCCATGAATAAGCATTGCTCACTATTTCGCCACGCTTTTTCATCGGAGACCCGTGATACCAAACTCGAGACGCGATTATCTTACGATAATGAGATATGTGTAAGTGGATATATGCGCGCATTTACGCACAATGTTGCGTATCGCGCGAGATACACCCCATACAGCACAGAAATCTCGAAAAGGTTTCAGAAAGTTTTCAGAAACATTGAACTTTCCTGAGATCTTTCCGAAATCTTCCTGAAATCTTTTTCAAACTTTTGTGCTGTATGGGACGAGACGCAAAGTTGCTCGACGCACAGCCCGTGTGTATGTATGTTCTCTTCTCTTTCATCAAGGCGCAGATGGAAGAGATCTCACACTTTTTGTTGAGCTTCCGATTGAAATGAACAAAGCCAACTTGGCTGTTTGATAATTGCGAAGTTTTCAGAGCAGCCTCGATGTATTTCGACAATTGAAACACGCTCCTATACGGGCGAACACTTGCGCGCTTACACGTTCGCTCAAACATTCGCCGAGGACAACGAAACGAGACAAACTTCACTCGATCGGCCCCTTTGCGCAAGGACGACATCTACCGCTTCTTTAAATTTATCGAATACACTTCGGCGTCCATATAACACTCTTGTTCTTATCTCGCGTCCTGTTCTAGTAAATTATTATAGTTATAGTATTGTCTGATTCCCGGCTGCGTTTCTCTGTTGTTAATCTCTTAGTTCTTTCGTTTCTTTGTTGCAAACCTCAGGGGGAGATAGGCGATCGTGAGTCATGGCGAGGTGACGTTAGAAATGATCTCGACGACATGACTTGGATGATATCGCTGCGACGTCGACGTTATTACCTCTACACGTCGCGGTTATTCACATAGATTATACATATATATATAAAACATGTGTATATATATAGATGTGTACACAGTTACGTTGCGTATATATCGACGCGTTACTGTTATTCATATAGTTACACGTGAGTATGTGTGATACCCCTTTATATTATATATTTAGAGTTGGGAACCTCGAAAAAGTAACGCGTTACTTTTCGTAAAAAGTAATTCGTAAAAAGTAGGCGAATATTTCTATCCAATTAAGAATACCTAATATATACTATCTGCGCACGATCAGCGCATCAACTATTGAATATAGATAACTAGAGTAATGATAAAACGGTAACGGTGTTATAAGTAACGCATTATTTGCAACGGTAACGGCAACGGCATTACAAGTAACGCGTTACTTTCCAACTCTGTGTATATATCTCATATCTCATTATATACTTTTCCTCCGCAGTTTTTGTGAGAATCGATTGAGGTCAACATGAACGTACCATTTTGCGATATTCACAATAATAGTCGAGATATTAATTAAAGAAGATTGGTGAATAATCACATGCGATACGATAGATGAGCTGTAGTGGCGATGTATGCTGTCGTGTGCTTGTACATTAAGTCAAATTGAACAGAAAAGCCTTTTATCATTTTGTAAATAACTACATAGATTTTTAGTTATTAATGAAAGAAAATTATCATATGATTGTGCGCGATAATGCACAAATCTTTAATTAATACCTAAAACTCTATGTGGTCATTTACAAAATGGTAGAGGACTTTTTTGTTCAGTTTGACTTAATGTATAAGTATACAACGGCTATAACTCATCTACCATATCGCGCATGATCACTTACCAACCTTCTTTAATTATTATCTCGAGATTTGTTATACGAATATCGCAACACGGTATGGGATTTTATGTTCACCTCAATCCGTTTCCACAAAAATTGTGGAAAAGAGTCTAGGACACTTTGTATATATAACTCTAGGTACAAATAATGCGTACATAATGGGTACAAAAATATTAATTTAGGAAGGCAAACTTTCAATTATTAGTCGTTAATCTCGAATACTGACGAATGCAACGATAACAGTGACCGATTTATCTATAGTACCGCAAGTAAAAATTATAGGGAAACCCGTCGCATCTAATTCAATACGAGTCACTGTATGCTAATTCGCCTCCCAGCGCAAAACAGCCATTCTGTGATCTCAAATCAATTGTCATGTCCGCATTCTCAAAGTGGCCCGCGGAAGCTTCGTTGTCGTGTTTGCTCTTATGCGTTTTTTACACGATTTCTTCTTTTTCCTTATTTTTTATTTATTTTTTTTTTCTTTTCAACACAATTTCGACGCGTCGCAAAATTCACTCGGAGACGCACACAACGACGTTTTCCAGGCTAGCCGCCAGGAACAGAAATAAGTTACTAATCGTTATCGTACAATTACCTACAAACTATCCTCTTAGCGTGGACTATATCGCTAGATCTTTTGGCAGAACTGTCACCAAAGAGGGCCTCGACATAATCAGCAATTACTTTGGATGATTATCTCGAATATCGAGACGCGTTCGATCGTTCGAGCATCGTTGACATCAGTCCATATTAATCGCGACAAATTTATACTGACGATATATATCCGTATTTTTGCGACGATTCAGCGATAGGTAACGATAGAGAAGATAAAAATTCGCACCGACGACACGGCGGCGTTAATTACAATGACGGTAATCTCGATCGTGTGGGAGCACCGTTTTACGCCTCGCCACGAATACCGACAGTTCTAAACATTTGTTCTAATCGTCTTATGTCGATAACATCGTTGCTAAATCTAAAATGGAAAACTCTTGTGACGTTCTTTACTTTCCGCTACGTACGCTTAACTCTGTCGCCTAACGAATTATCCATCGATCGAGATAATAAGAATATTAGTAACGTGGTGTATAACTTTCCTCTGTCGTATCAGCTTGACTCGAGAGATACTTCAATATGACGGTGGCATTCGTGTGGATCTAATTAGGACCTTCATTCGTTGTATTATGTTTCACGGCGTGCTACATGAAATTACATATTACACAGTGGTTCGGAAGGAATCAGTCGATCTCATATCCCGTCTCGGATAGATTGTAGAGCCATAAATCAACTTTAGAGCCATCGAGCATAGAAACGATAATATCGAAAATATAAATTTGCAAACCGATGTGTTAAGAAATCGCGTGTTCTAATAAAATCTGAACGGTTATCAAAGCGCAAAAGATGTCAAGTTGAAGTCATTCTAGCAATTCGCGCGTCTAATAAAGTCGTTAGAGACACAAACACAATGAGAGAAATCAATCGTGATTAGCGCTTACCGAAGACGTCGCGACACACTATGGATTACAATTTAATTCCTTATACACAATCTTAACAAAAATATTACAGATTACCAGGGGATCCGCTTCTGCAAGAGTCTCTTCCCGGCGAGGAGCGTGGCGTGAGAAGCTGCGAAGAGCGTTCTCGGCGTCACGCTCGAGAATGCCGAAAACGACTTGTCTTATCAGGAGCGATCGGGTTAAATTCGCTGAAATACGGGTCTGTCATGATATATCTTAACGATCCCGTTTAGTGCTTTGGTAAAGGTTATCCTGGGTCTTGATGCGCGACGCGTCCAAGTTTCGGATCGTCGGCCTCCTTTATAATCTCTCCACGTAGTTACCCGGGAAAGTACCGAAGTAACCTGTCCTCTGGTTGGAGCCAATGTACCAGCCGTCGTCGCATTTCTCCATCATGTACACCATATCGCCCTCTTTCAGCTCCAGCTCATCTTCATTCTGCGGTTTGTAGTTGTACAGCACCCGATATCTGCAAGAGACAATACAAGTGATTATATGCCTTGGATTATATGCTGTTCCTCAGTCATAACACAAAATTTTCAATGTCCTCGTCTGAGGAGGCAATGAGTCGAGCTCAATCTGCTACATCTTCAACGTTTACAATGAGTTAAAGTATCTTTGATCGAAGCAGCAATGAAAAATTTCGAGGGAAGTCTATGAAATTTCTATGTAAATCCAAGAGCAAGGTGCAAAAGACTCACGGAATCGGTTCTGAATGCGTGTTGACATGTAGAGTCTCGCTGAGCTGCGATACGTGCAACTTACTTCCGCCCACTTGTGGCTGAAAGTTCAAAAGATCGTGTTACTGTACAATACGATTTTTTCCGCGCTGGCCTTTGCACGAGATATCGGCTGCGTTCCGAAATTCATTGCCAGTACTGAAAATCTATAGTTCATGTCACATATACTATAGAATTTCAGTACTGGCAGTGAATTTCGGAACGCAGCCATCGTGTGATAGTTACCAGTGAATTATAATGTGGCTGGGTTGTGTTTATATTGACCGGGATGGATGGCACGTAATGATGGGGTCCCATACTCATCTTGCCTCCAGAAGAGGCGTTCGCTAAGAGACTGTGCGCCGCTGGAGAGGCCACCGGTTTGTTCTGAGTCGGTGTCTCTGAAATAACAATAGAAGTGCACCCTGTGATTATCTGTCGATCTTCTCGAGATGTTTGTTTCCCTTTAAAAATACGACGCCTCGTTATATTACCTGATCGATGCCCAGGCTCCATAATAACTTCGACGTAGGAAATCGGGAAGATTCCTTTGCGATTTCCTGCATGGCCCTCGTACCAATTGTCGTCGACTCTTCTGGTCAGAGCCACCACTTCCCCTGAGTGAGCGTAAACATTGCAGAAAAAATTTGTATTAATAATGAAGAAATTAAATTCTCTAAGAATTCTCTCTTTCTCTATATATATTTCCAACATTGGCTTACCTTTCGTTAAAGATAATTCCAGATTAGTCTGAGCGACAAAGTTGAACTTGGCTCGTGCCTGACCTTCGTAAACCTTTTTCGGCGTCGTTCGTATGCTATCGTACGGTAGAATCTGCGATAAGTAAAATTCGAGTCTCTCAAACATGTATTTTCTTGCGAAAATGTTCAAGTTTGCCTTTTCGCTTTTCACTCTCTAAAGCTTGGTCTCTAAAGCTTGTACTTTTTGCTTTCTGTTCTTTATATTTTTCTGACTTAAGTCAGAAAGAGACGAAGAAAAAGAAGCAAGAAGCAAAGAGCACATTGGTAGATAAAGTTTAAATTTCTTGAAGTGAAATTTCACTCATAAAGCAAATACTCATCAAAGGTGTTCACAGAGCTATTCGAGTAATTTTCACGAATATAGAGTTACAAGAAATTCAGAGAATAATACAACCCAAATCTCGAAGAAGGAAGTTAATTACCTCGACATAGTTGTAGGGAAGCAGTCCGATCATCGCTTTGTACTCGCCCTCGTACCAGTTTTTATCCACCTGTCGGCGAATGAATATGATGTCGCCGCGCCGGAAAGTCAATTCCCGCGATGATTGGCCGATAAAATTATAAAGGGCTCTCGCCACCAAGCGTGGCTCGGGCGTTTGATCTTGGGATCGACTTCTCTGACTTAAATCGTCTACGAAGTCGTCGTAGCGATTCAGAGGTATAGGCGACTTCTGCGAAGGTCTGCAATTGCCGATTCGAAAGATTCTTTCCACCGTACAACTAAGATTGTCTTTCTGTTTATTTCGAGCACATTCCAGCTCTCTTCGGTAACTCTCGCGACGGTTTGAGCATCGCGGAGTTTCGTGGAAATTGGAAACGCAAATTTAGACATGGAAGAGAGACTCGTGCTTTTCAATGTTTATTTTCAGTTTTCCATAAATGGTGCTTCAGAAAAATGTTACTCGATAATCTCAGTTAAAAAATCAGATGGAATTTCAGCCACGAGACCTCTCCTGATAGCAATGCTCTCTTCTGACCGCGAGAAACTTTCTATCCTACTAACTGTCACGAATACGTTCAGGACTACGGCAACCTTCTTCGGAGAGACGTCAACGAAACCGGCCAGTTCTACCTGCGCGCACGATTACGCTTGCATTGTGACGCCCGCGTAAAATAGCTTACCACGCACAATGACGCGTTGTGCAATGGTCATTGAACGGCGGGAGATGTTTTCCAGCCGACAACGGCGTAATAAACTGAAGATGTATCTTTTCGTCACATTATTAACGTCGTTGTTCGAGACGTTTCAATGCTTGCGCAAAGAAAAACTCAACGTAAACAAGAGAACGTCGAATTCTTATATAAATTATATATCGAGACAAGTTTAAAAAATAGCTTTCTGTCTTCTCCAATTGTCCCTCAACAAAAGTATCTCTTCTATGAAAGCCGGGCGAAATTTATAAGAAAGAGATCGAAAGAGTCCATTTCTCAATCACTGCATTGAGACAAAAAAACTTGAAAATTTACTTATGGAATATAACGTTTATTTCTGTGAATAAATTTCATATTTCCCGCTGATACATTTTCAAATATTTTTTTTCTCAATGCGCCTCTCGAGTCGACACAAAGAGAAACTCAACGTAAACAAGAGAACGTCGAATTCTTATATAAATTATATAGCGAGACAAGTTTAAAAAATAGCTTTCTGTCTTCTCCAATTGTCCCTCAACAAAAGTATCTCTTCTATGAAAGCCGGGCGAAATTTATAAGAAAGAGATCGAAAGAGTCCATTTCTCAATCACTGCATTGAGACAAAAAAACTTGAAAATTTACTTATGGAATATAACGTTTATTTCTGTGAATAAATTTCATATTTCCCGCTAACACATTTTCAAATATTTTTTTTCTCAATCCGCCTCTCGAGTCAACACTCTTTGCACGCGCGCGAGTTTTCCTACACGAGAAAACTACTCTATCAGTGTAACTGAATTTTCCGATGCTTGATCAGATGAAAAACTCAGTTAACAGAGTGATTTCTGCAGGAGGTTTCCGCTCAGCCAATTACTGCTGAGTTATCTCGATCGTGTTTCAGCTGAATGCTCAAACAAACGTTGTCGTTCGCAGTAACAGAGATATTATTTCTCGTCAGTGAGTTTTTCGTCCGGTCCCTGTGCGTTTGCCCCAATTGAAATTTCTGTTTTGTATAAGAGAACAGGAAAGAGGATGGAAATGACTCACGTGAAGTTATCCGTGTGTCTGCGGGAGTGGATGTCGTGCAGCTCCTGAAAGTACTTGCGACGGCGTTCCTCCGCGTAGACGCGCCGCATGTTCTCCGCGCTCCGGCGCGCGAGTTCCTCCTCGCTCAATGGCTCCTTCGCCTCTGTGCGCACCGGCGAGCGATAGTGAATCGTTACCTCACCCTCCACATAACGCCTCGGCGATTCTGCATCAAAGAGGCGACACATTTATCGGCCGCCAATCGAGCGACCCGACATAGCGAATCAGTCGCACCGCGTCGGGCGTCACGAATCCGCTTCGAAAACCACCTTTGGGATACACGCAGAAGAGGACAATCGCGAAATTTTTCAGACTTCTTCGGCGCAGCTGCGTAGGCATAGTCGCGTAATTAAATCCCAATTAAATCCCGCGAAATCGGCGAGTAACTAGCCGCGCGAATCGTCAATTTCGATTTCAATCGTTCCATTCATTCGCGCCGTTTACTTAGAGTGCCCCGCTGGACTCAGGGCACGCGCCGCTTCGTCGAATTAACCATCGTCATCGAGCGCTTCACTGGACATCGTTAAAAATGATGGCATACGTTCGGCCGTGTCGTGTTCAAAGAGATTCGCGCGATACTACCGATCCGACGGAGTTATTAGAGCATACGAGGATTACATCTCGTCGGCTGATCCGATGGGGAAAAATGCGCGTCGCGCGCAAGACATCACGCGCGACGCGACCTACTTTCGAGAGGTCGTCACTTGTTCAGCTCATTCCGCCAGAACATATGGCTTCCTCGCGGAGGGAAATGATACTTAAGCCGCGGTCATCGACCAGCGAGAGAAGCGAGAACCTAGCCACGGTCTCTGAGCATCATTTTTAGCTCTGTGTAGCGTGATGCTCGATTACCCTTGATAACACTCGCAAGGCGATGCCTCATACACAGAACAAACGTATATGCAGCGTTCTATAAGATACGATACACCGATTTGGAGGCAAAAACCTAATAATAACGACTCACAAGACGCGTTCAGAGTGTCTCTCGTTGCGAGATCTCTCTAATAGCGACATCGCCGTGCATTAGCGCGGATAATTTTTGCTCATATTTACGAAAGCACGAGCGTAACGAACGCGTAACGAAAGCACGAGCGTATCGATTCACGCCGCGTCTCACCGCGCCGTCGCCTGTCAAGCGGGCATTTAAAAACGACGTGAAGCTTCGTGCTTCAGGAGCGAGCAAATGCTGCGCCGTGTGCACGCACCTGCTCTCCCGTGAACGCGTTGCGCGAGATAATGACGAGACTTTATCGCGATGTAACAGCACGCGCCTGCACTCACGCACTGCGCGCACTCGCGTGCGCCGGGTTGCACCGGAGCCGTGCGACTGATAAAATGAGTGCAGCCCGAGCGACTGACCGATCTCTCTCTCCGGCGCGATGATGGCAAAGCGCAGACTCGCGATGACTCCGCCGATGCATTTTCGGCGGCCGACCGTCATTCGCATCGTCGTTCGGCTAACTCGTCGATGCGCCGCGAAATTTTCCGCGATAAAGCCACTCGAGTTCAGGGGATATTACGTTGTATGCTGAATATAACGCAGATATAACGCAATTTCGTAGTTTGCACTGCTTTTCCATTTGGTTGCACAGAATTGCAAATACTGCTTGCAGAGAGGAAATATCAGTGCACTGAATGGCATTCTATGTCGTATTGAAAACGAAAAAACTTCGCCAATGAAAGAATTTTTTTTAGCTTTTGACGTAACAAAGGCTACCCCTCAAGGCATTAGGATTTGTACTTCCACTGCTTTTCCATTTGGTTGCACAGAATTGGAAGTGCAGAGGGAAAATACAAATGTCAGTGCATTGAAAGACATCCCATCATATAAAAAACAAAAAAGAACTTCGCCAATGAAAGAACCTTTTTAGTTTTTGACATAACAAAGGGTACTCTTCAAGACATTGGCATTTGTATCTTCACTCCGTAAGAGCATTTGCAATTTCACCTAATCAAATCTAGCATTTTCTTAACCCTTATCCGAGCAAGTAGGTTCCGCTGAAACCTCTTCCCTTGTATACTAAACTTTATATGTGAAATCTGATCTTAATATTACTTTTAGGAAAAACAAACTAATGTATTTTGAATATTTTCAGAAAAAATATATCTCCGCTTTTAAAACTTTGACTGCGTCGTAAATATAGCTCATTGAAAAAGTCTTTTTCGTAAAAGTAACAAAATGAAAAAAGAATATTCATTGACACACGCGACAGAGTCACGAATCTCTTTCTCTCATGTTGTCGGACCAAATCAGAAACTTTCATCGGTGCCCTCCATCAGTGAAACCGCGTCGGGGTTCCCGCGCGACTCACCTAGGAGAGTCTCGTACTGTCAGCATAACCCAATTTGTCAGCGTGTAACGGCTTGAGGCGCTAATCATAAATGCCGAAATGAGAAGCCGAATTTCAGTGTTTCAGAACGCGCGCCTTTCATCGCTTTCTTCCGAGCGAGATTCTCACGCAGCTGGGATCTTTCTCTTTCTCGCGCGTGCTCCAAGTACCATATTCATTTTTCTTTTTCTTCTTTTTTTTTTCACCCACGGTACCTTATTATCCTCTATCTGATTCCGCCCCGTCGTGTAATTTCGTTCCATCATTCCGCGCCGCGTGTTGACGCTCCTATTACTCGAGTACTTTCGCGGGAGAAGTCGTTTTTCAATTATTGGAGCAATTTCGTTATGTGCTGCACCAGCATTAATCGTGTTCCCGTTAATTCAGTTGTAAACATTCTTGAAAATTGGTAGCGCAGCGTAATATACCTAGTCTCTACTTTAACCGCTTCTTCTCGCCGCCTCTCTCGCTTCCTATCCCCGCTCTCTCGCGTTCTCCCTGTTCTCTTCGATCAACTACTACCAACGGCTACTAACAACAGCTATGCCAAACGATTCTAACGGCGCGCACGGTTATTTACACGCAGCAGGAAGGGCATTATTTCAGGAAAATTATGTGCATGTTTACTGACTGTACGGAATCGGTCCGTAGACCGACGGAAGCGCGCTTCCGGCCTGAAGCCCGCCAATCGGACCCGTCTGATCGAACAAAGGGCTGGTGGCACGGTCATGGCGGGAGTCATCAGGGTCAATCGGATGTCGAGCTATCCTGACGGCAGGATCTACCGTTCGTAGATCGCACGTGGAGCTCTTGTAATTGTTGACGAGCTGCGGCGACTGAAGCTCGTCGGCCAGCGAGATGTCGCCACAGGATTTGTGCAGAGGTCTGAACGATCGCTCCTTCTTCTTCTGGTCGCTCTTCCCGCAAGCTTCTTCCGCTGTCGCACCTCTACCCTTAATCTTCGACAAGGTGTTACCTCTAACGACGTCCACGACGGCTTCTTCGTGTCCAGCGCTGATCAGCAGATCTCTCACGAGGTCCTCACGGCTGCGCAGGATCGCCACGTCGACGCTGTAATCGTTCAGACACTTGCCCTCGTCCGCTTCCATTCGTTCACATTGCTCGTTCACCATGGTTAAGTCCAAGGGTGGAGGAGGGATCCTCGACGCCTTGACCTTCCGTGAGGTCAAACGTTTAGGAGAGACCAGCTCGTCCGTCGCCTCGGATATCGATTGTCCGCAGCCGATCGAGCGTGTCCGACCTTCGGTCTCCTCTTGGCACTGCCCCAATCGTCGTCGTTCCTCCCGTCGTCGTCTCAGACTCGTTCTCGTGATATGAGCATCGAGCTTACAGTCCGACGGTTCGACGACGGGTTCCAGCTCGGGAACGTTGATTGCGCGAGCGACGTAGAGCGGGGCGTCGAGGTTCCGCTTCGTGATAGTCAAGTTCGGCAGCGACTTGCTGAGATCCCAGCAGGTCCGGCGATCAATCGACGCGTCCGTCCGGATGGAGTCCAGTCGTCTATCTTCAGAAATCATCGGAGAGCACGTCTCGTTGTGCGCTCGCGCGAATCCGTTTCGTCGGAAGTCGCCGATCGGCCGATCGCTCGCGTTGCTCCAGTCGTCGCTCGCTACTCGGCCGTTTCTGTCGCAAATGCCAGCCGAGTTTCCGAGGCTGCCTCGAGCCTCGATCCTCGTGGATTCACCGAAAATGTATTCCGGCAGGCTTTTCTCGCGGCGCCACGCGGCGACGTCGGCACGACATCGACGCGACTCACCGGGCGCTTCCTTGTCGCTCGTGGGTTTCCGAAATCGAGCTTCATCGATCAGCGACAAGCCGTCGCTCCGTTCATTACTCGCCTCGTCGAGCTTGACGTCCCTCACGACGATGTGTCTGACCTCGCTCTCGGGTAAGATGTTGACAAGCACCTTACCGTCCTTCTGACTCCCGTCATCGTTCCGATCGACCCGACGATTACCGTGCGGCGGCGGCGGCGGCACGTTGTTCCTCACAGAAAGCGCGGCCAATACGTTCTCCTCCTCCTCCTCCTCCTCTGGGCTGCGACTCGTCTGCAGCCCCCAGCGAGACTTCCGGTCATTTATACTGCTCACGGACGATTGATTGCTCTGGCTGGCCAGCGTTTCGGTGCTGCCAAAGCCATTGTAACGCTTCGCAGCTTCCTGGTTGCTGTTGCCGAAATGCCTGGGGAATCCGCTGCAATCTTGCCGCACGTTCGCCGCCGAAGTGCTAGCGAAGAACTGTCGCCTGAGGTACCGATTGTGCTCGAAGATCTCGTGCAGCCTCTCCCTGCTGTCGCTGAAGTGCTCCTTCTCAAGCCCGCTGGAGTAACGGTCCGTTGACCGCCGTCCCGCAGGACTCTCAGAGGGCTGTCGCGTCTCTTGCGAATAGCCGCGATTCCTCGAATAGCAGTCCTGATCGCGGCAAGATCGCTGTCTCGAAGACTCGCGAGAGGCCGGGTCGAAACACTTGGGAGCCGCATGATCGGCGCAGTAATAATCCTTGTAATCCTTGTAGAAATACTCCCTCTCAAAGTCCGTCCGCGGCTTCCAGCTCCAGCGGGAGCCCTCAGACTCCAGGTAATCCGCTGTCAAGTTCCTCTGCACGAGCGTGTCGTCGCAGTTATCGTTGCAGTTATCGTCGCACTTGGCGGTGCTCGCTCTCTGCATCTCGGGTATAGCGGCCCGCTGATAAGTCTGTCTCTCGATCGGCACCGATTTATGGGAACGGCGCGAGCGGTCGTGACGACAGAGTCTCTCCAGACGGTCGATATCATTCGCCAGACTGGTCCATTGGACGCTGTGCTCCAGATCCTCGA